GACGACAACGACGAAAACGACGACAACGACTTCAACTACAACGACAACGACAACGACAACAACCAAGCAACTTGCAAATCAGGAAGGGTCGGGAGGATTTGCAAGAAACGAAGTTGTTTGATATGACTCTGCCCAGCTGGGCCCGCACGAACGCATCCGAGCCCGCAAAAACCCCTAGCACGGCGACGCCCTGCTCCCCTGGGCGTTTCCGCTCCAGACGGCGGCAGGGGCAAGCGTGTCAAGGCCTTGGAGCTCGGCACCTCCCGCGTTCCACACTCTTGTCTTGGCGTGGTTCAAGGAAATGCGCGCGTGTTCCCCGCCAGCGCGGGGAAATTGCTCAAGAAACGGTCGCGCGCGCTCGGGCCGGCATGCCACACAAGTCATCCAAGAACGCCATTGCTCGTTCGTTTGGCTGGAACTGCGGCTGGAGCGCTTGCAGCGGCTTGTGCAATCCACAGGAAAAAAGCAGTGGCATGAGTGGATCACCCTGCTCGCCACCGTCGGCCTGCTCAACATGGTGGGTCTGGCCACTGTTGTCTACCCACACATACCGAGACGGCGACCCGTACCATCACACATGTGTGTACACGTGAGCACACTTATGTGCACACGTGCAACACACATGTGCGTACACGTGAACACACACATGTATGCGCACCCGGAACACACACAAGAGTGTTCATCTGAAAACAAACATGTGTTCAGCTGGAACGCATACACGTGTCCAATTGGAACACACATGCGCGTACACGTGGAACACACATGTGTGTACACGTGAACACACATATGCGCACACGTGAACACACATATGTGCACAAGTGAACAAACATATGTGCACACGTGAACACTCACATATGTGTGCACCCGGAACACACACCCGTGTGCTCATCTGATAACAACCATGAGTTCTCCTGGACCGAAACACGTGTCCAAATGGAACACACATGTGTAAACACGTGAACACGCATATGTGTGCACGTGGGAGATGCAAATGTGCACACGTGAGCACACACATGTGCACACGTGGAACATACACATGTGTGCTGCGCACGTGAACACACACATTGCGTTTATCTGAAAACAAACATGTGCTCACCTCAACAAACACGTGTCCAATTGGAACACACATGTATGTACACGTGAACACACAAATGTGCACACGTGGAACACACATATGTGTAAATCGAACACAAGTACATGTGCACGCGGAGCAGACACACACACGCGTTCATCTGATAGCAGACACGTGTCTGATTAGAGCACAGAAGTGCGCCCATGCGAACACACTTCTGTGTGCCGGAGGATTACACATTTGTGTACACCTGAGCACACACACATGTATGTGCACCCGGAACGTTCATCTGAAACAAACATGTGTTCTCCTGGAACACACACACGTGCCTGATAAACGCAAGCACAAACACACATATACGCGCACCCGGAACACACACACGTGTTCATCTGATAACAAACATGTGTTCCTGGCACACACACACATGCGCACAACTGGAACCGTAAATGTGGGTCTGTCTGGAAAGAAAACTTCTGTTCGCCTTCAACACACACATGTGTTCACCTGGAACCCATACATATGCTCACTTGGAACGATCACACAAACATGTTTAACCAGAGCAAACTTCTGCGTTGATTTGTGACACACGTATGTGTATACATGGAACACATGCATGTGCACATGTGGAGAAACATGTGCAACACAAATGTGCAACACACATGCGTTCACCTGGACAACAAAATGTGTTCACATGGAATTTACATTATCTGCGCGCCTGGGCAGCACATAAATCAAGCTCCCGAAGCTGGCTGCGAGGCGCCATTCCCTGGGGCTCTGCCTTGCACACTTGTGTTATATATGCATGTTCCAAGTAGGAAAATAGTCTTCGCGCGCGCTCAATCTGGCTTTTTTGCAACACGTTGCTAGCGCGCGAGCCTGCTGCTGCTGCTACTACTGCTAGTACTATCAGTACCGGATGCATCTCCAGCATTTACAGGCTTCAGCTTAGCAAAAGCTTTCCGGCGCATTGCGCTTCTTTCTCGCTTAGCTGCACAGTGTCCTTCGTATCGAAAGTGCCTTTATCGTGTTGTGTCAACTCTTCGTATCGATTCAGTAAAGCATTTGCTTTTGCACGGAAATACGCAACCCAATTCTTCCGTACGCTCGGTATATACAAGGCGCCCCTGCCTTCTTGCCTCAGCCGTTATTCCCCGCGCAAGCAAATTTGGATTGCGGGGTAACTGGGAACCAGTCACAGCTGACCACTGCGCTTTAAGGCCACGTTAGATGAACGTAAGCGTGCGGGCTGGCTTCAAGCACTAAGTAAGAACTGCCACATCACACCCTTGAAAGCCACACAAAGCCCACCGCGGCAACCCACGGGCCAACTCTTGGAAACCAAGATCATCGAAGAGCCTAGAGCAAACCAAGCGCCATCCTAGCCCCTCCAGTGGGGAGCGGACAATCGATTGGTATTTGCAAGACTCAAAGTAACTGCGACGGTGGCCTCTGTAAAACACAATTTTGACCGGATCGCATATGCGTATCAGAAGACAAAGCGAGACAAATGGGTATGTGTTTTTTGACGTGGCCGTGCCGGGAGGTTGGTATAAGGGGTATGAATCGCAGGTATGGTTCGGGGTATGGCTCGGGGGTATGATTCGGGGTGTGGCCCGCGCGCCTCTGAACTCTTGCTTTGTGGCTTTGGACACTGCAAAGCTCCCGTGCGCTGACAACTGGATAGCCGTGAGAATTTGGACCGCTTAGTTGCTACAAGCCAGCCTGGGGCGCTTGTGAGTGGCCTGAACTAGACAGCTGCCTCTGCGTGAGTGGGTTAGCGAAAGCTGCTGCGCTAGGTGGAAGGCGCAGAGCCACTGCCTGAGGCGAACGTCATTGCCACCTCCACTTGGAGTTCAAGCGACCCGCGCGCTCACAGACCCAAGCAAGCGTTGCTTAAGGGGGAGCGCTGCCCAGTCAGGCCCGCCACCCGCACCAGTCACGAACCAGCGTAAGGGCAAGACAGTGTGACACCCTCAAACGCGCAGAGGCTAGTGGGCCTCTCACAGGTGGTGTACCGTGTCGCGCTTGATACATCGCAGTAAGCCTTCCGAACCCACCTTCTGGCAAACTTCTGCAGCGCTTCTCTTTGAGTTTTGTGTCTTCTGAGGATTTGGGCGGCATAGCTTCGCTCGTACTGCCCAGAGCGCAAGAGGCTCTTGGCTGCAAATGGCAGCAGAAGGGTATGAATCGGGGGTATGAATTGGGGGACAGATTTTTTTCGACCGGAAAGACACCAAGAGTACCCCAGGAGCACAAAGACAGCTTGTGTTTCGCTGCGACAGTTGGCCCAGGACAGACAGCTGTTTCCACCGCGTCGGACAGACTGCAGGAAGCAAGCTCCGAGTTTCAACCTCAGCAGCGGCACCCCCCGCCACAGCGCCCTGCAAGTCCCAGCGTCTTACGTCAAGCTGCACCCCCCCCGCCACAGCACCACGGATGCTACAGACAACTCTAGTACCAGGACATCCGCAGGATTGCTCTATAACTCTATCCATTGGCACTTTCCATTGAAAATAGCAAGCCGAGACCGACCGAGTGTCAAGGAACACTTGAGCCAAAATGGCCCCCCACGAGTAACCAGTGAGTGTGTGAGTGGACCCATGATGCAAGCATCGCAGACTCAAGAATAGATCCAGGAACCAGTATTACCTCGGAGTCCCTACCCCCTGGCATCGGTGCTCTCTAACACTGTTTCTTGACAAGACCCCCTTCTTCACTTGAAGTTAAACCCCCTATAGCTTCCAGCTATCCATGGATCACATGCAAATGCCACAGTTATTGCAAGTTCTTTTTTGTGTTTTTTAAGGGGTATGACTCGGGGTATGGCTCGGGGGTATGGTTCGGGGTATGATTCGGGGGTATGGCTCGCCCAGGCCCCGCCTCCCACGAAGACTAAAGAACTGACACGGTAAAAAAACACAGACCCAAATGAATCCGTCCACCCACAGAGCCGTGCCAGGCACCCAGGCTGGGAGACAACAACCACGCAGAGAGCCGTGCCAGGCATCCAGGCTGGAAGACAACGCAAAACAAACAAAGGGACAAAGGGAGACAAATCAACCTGTCCGCCCGGAAAGCCGTGCCAAACATCCATGCTGGGAGGCAACGGAAGACAAATGAATCCGTGGAGACAAATGACCGTCCGAACCCCTCACAGTAAACTGTTTGGGGAAAAAGAGACACCCATGCCGGGGCAAGACGCTGCAAAGTCGGCCGGCGTCACTTGTCTTAACAGAAATCGACGTAGCAAAAAGTAAGCGAAAGGAAGCCTTCTGAAGAGTCGCAAGGGAACAAGTAAGCCCAGTGTCATCGTGTCCGATTTTACTGTTCAGGGCTCGACGCTATTACCAGGCACCCCTTAGATAGTGCGAACTCACCTGCTCCACCAAATTCTGCACTCTTATGGCCGACATAAAAACAGGATGTTTCTCGCGCATAGAAACTGCCCCAGGCGCGGGCGGGCGCGGGTGGGAGGCTGGGCGTGGCGCGACAGAAAGAACGGTCACCAACACGAGAAGCGTCTACTCGGCGGCCTTGCTGCCAGCAGCGTGGCAGCGCGCAGCAGCGCGTGGCAGCGTGTGGCAGCGCGTGGCAGCGCGTGGCAGCGGACCAAGACTCGCCAACCTACATAGCCCATGCAATGACAACGTTGCGACAAAGACTGTGGTTGAAGACTATCGAGCAGCTGGTATCAGGGTGTGGGGACGTTGGGTGTGCCAGTCTCACTTAAAAAGAGTGAAGGTGATAGGTCGCAGTACCTTGTTGCGTCTGAGGCTCTAGCCTAAGGCACAAACAATGCAACGCAAGAAGACCCAAAAAACGGAGAACACAGACATGTCGAAGACGTAAGGCTGATCCCTGTTCAGAAAAGCCAATAATATCAGTGTGCGCCCCCTGCCACCGCTGTCTCGTCAACACCTGTCCTGGCCTTGGCACCTTCCAAAAATCCGGCCAGAAAATAGCATGAGACAAGTGGGGGAGAAGCTCCTGCCACGGCAGTGAGAACTCATCAGTGCGGAGCATTGGCACATGTGTCATTGTTCACTGAAAGCATTTCACTGCTTCTGCCGAAGCCTGTTTCTCCTGGAAGAAGCCTGTGCAAGCACTACAACATTGTGTCTACGCATCAAATGACTGACTTCAGTCGTTGTTTATCAAGCTTAGACTGCAGCCGCACACAGCATTTGTGTCGCGTCATCATGAAACAGAACAATGTGCCCCGGACCAAGCCTGTGGTGGACGCAAGGCAGCGTTGTCCGCATCCAAGAAAAGACACACATCCTTGGGTTGCTGAACAGTCGGGATATCTGCCAAAGGTTTCATGATCCAGCTCCCACCTCGTCCATTGTGGGCCGATTCTTTTACGCAGTTTGTCAAAGCTTGTTTTCTGGCGGGTGCAGCTTCCATGCGCAACAAGCCCTAGCAAGACAGCAGGCTGTGGCATTGGCTTTAACTTGCTCTCAGCATCACCTCAAGCACACGCTCAGAAAGCTGGCCCATCGGCTGCACACATGTGGGTTGCTGTCGTACTGTCAAGCGCTTCTTCTGGCTGAGGAAGCAGCGCAATCACTCAGCAGCAGGACCACAGGCTTCAAGGAGTACGCTCGCAGCCTGCACCAAGCCGCGTCGAAGAGTTCACCGCGTTTGGCAATAATCGTCTGGTTGCATTGCGCAGCTTGCACAATGGAAGCCCTGACCCCGGGAGCTTCGCGCAACCTTTTCTCTTGACACAGATCGATCGACTCGCGCTTGCTCCGCGCAAAATTGAAATAAAAACAAGAAACCCCGTGATGCCAGGCAACGGCAACAATAGGTAAACCATATTTCCAGCAGGCCCGGGCTGACTTGGCCAAGACAAGGATCACTGCAAGTAGTGGCAGCCATGTGTGAAAAAATGTACTTTGGCTGATTGGCATACACCGTGCTGTAGGCGGGAGTTCGCCAAGTCTGAAAAAACTAACCTCCACTCAACAGGTTTCTGGACCGAGCAAAACCTGTTTGCGTGAGCCTCTTCTTTGCCCCGCTTTAACTTGGTGCCCAGCTTGCTGTGGCCTTTGGCTTTCCTTGTGCTCCCTTCTGCTTTTGCCTCGCTGCCGCGGCTGCGTTCTGCTGAAAATGCGCGGGGAAGTGCGCCTGCCACCTGACAAGGACTCAAGCCGCCCCTCAATCGGCAAAGCCTCCGAAGTCCGAGTGCCACGCAATCAAAAATTGGTGCGGGTTTCCGGATTACCCAAAATCGGGGGAGGGCCAGCGGGGCGCCCCCGCAAAAAAGATGTCCGTTGATTGTGTCTTCGCAGGGGTCGCAAGTGAAATCATGTCATGCAGCGGAATGCGTGGGCGCTGTCCGCCAAAATGATGTGGCAAACACAATTGCGTGGGGAGGCCGCAAGATTTGCGCAAAGACTTTAAACAACCGAGCGGCGTCAGGGTAACACTTTGATCCAGTCCTTTGACAAACGCAACTTCCTGCAGCGGTCATGGCAATGCTGCCTTGCAGACAGTGTCCATAGCTTACATGGACTAGACGGAAAGCAAACGCCCAGAGGCGACCCCAAGAAGCAAACGCCAAGCACACGTTCCCACTCTTTCAGCAACCATGTTGTTGATGCTCGTTTTGACGAACATGAACAACGCCGATCCATTTGCAGGGCATTGAAGTTTGAGCAGCTTGCGCAGTATAGTACTGTATCGAGCCAGCAACTTGGTGGTGTTGAAACAACGTTGCCTGCCTACGTCCAGTTGCCTCTTTTGTTTCCTTTAATCGCTGTCCAAACGGCCCGGCCCCCCTTCGAGGGAACACGCGAGACTCACGGTTTGAACGGTATTGAAGGGCAGGACGCAAATCCGCGCTATCAGGCTTACTTAAACCTCAACTTGGCCACATTGCAAATGTCCTAACATCGAGGAGCCTCGGCTGGATACTGTTTAAAGGGAGACCACAAGGAACTTACCCAAGTTGCGGGACACCTCATTTAGCAAGCACCGATGTTGGGGTTGCGGGCTTGTGAATACGGCTCGATCGGAAGTGGCTGGTGGCTTGCTGGCAAAATATGCTGAAGAGACCGATCATTGTGAGAAACTCTCAACAGGTCTCTCTGTCAGTTATGTGTGACATCACTGCCACCCATCCTGCCTCCAGAAGCTGTGATTCTTGGGAAAGCGTCCCTTGCGGCAAGCATCAGGAATGAGTGGAGCCGGCTAGCTGGGGAAGTGCAACTGACATCGACGAACCCAAACGACTCGCAAGTTAATTAACATCGGAACCCCACGTGCCCCTCTCTTGCTAAACGTGCCTAGCTGTACAAACTTTGCGCTCCATTGGCAGGAAAACTAGTCACATCCTCAGCTACAAAGCCGCGAGGCACACCTGCAATGAGCATCAAGGTCTTTCTGGCGCAAACATAGAAATTTGCCAAAGGTTTTTCCTCTGTCTTCTGCGGTCATTGCGGCTGTTCAGCCAACACACCCGCTACCTGTCACGCCTGTGGTGAGGGCACCAGCCGCAACAAAAAGCCATCCGGCACGGCGAAGGAGCCCACGTCTGCTGCCTTCGAATGGCTCAAAGCAATGGGCCATTGCTGTCTCTGGTGAGGGCCATTGCTGTCTCTGGTGATAAACCGGGGAGAAGTCTCCGGTTTCCCGCAAAATGTGCGAAGGACCCCCCAAATAGTTCTGACGGACAAAACCAGAACCAGGCAACAACATCCTTGAGGTGGCATGTTTTCTCCACGCAAGCCTTTGGTAACGCGACCTGCATGTTGGCCTGGTGGTCAAACTTCCACAAAGCAGTCTCCCTTGGCGGGGAAGCTTCAGGACTGCAGCGCGGAGACATTCCAGGAGACGCCAGCCTCCATGACGCTCTCAACCGAACGCGCATCGTCTTCTGGCTGCGCAAGTATTCACATTCTTCACCCCGTTGGCCAGCCACTGCCGCTCAAGTTTTGTTTCCTGGCAATTACAGCCCGCCAGACTGCTTGCAGACGTATGCATGTGGGGCGATTCTGCCTGGCCGGCTAATGTGGCAACATGTTCCCACTTTTGCTCTCAAACAAGGAGCAAATATAACGCGTGCAATTTTGCGCAAGGCTGTTTTGAACTCAGAATGTTCCAATTGAAGAGGCAAGGGCTTTCAATACAGCATTGAAGCGTGTCGTTTAGTTCAGGCTGGTTGCGGTTGCGCCGTGCGCGCCTCTAAGTTTTAAATAGAGGGGCCGAGCAACACTGCCCCCTTTGGCTTTCCGTTCAGCTGACACCACTAAGGGCGCCTGGCCAAAACTCTTTGAGCACAAAGGCACGCAAGACCCTTGGTGGAAGAAGGCTGGCGCTTGCCAAAAACAACTACAAGCAACCTGAGCACCTGAAGCTCCTGAACCCTGTTGAAGTTCCAGGGTTCTTGTTGCAAGCCTACTGTTGCCCGCTAAACGGTAATCCCTAACAAGCCCCTGAAAGGACACAATTCTCGGGCAAAAAGGCGGCCGCCAAAAGTTTGTGCGACATCAGCTACGATGCTTCAACGCGCCTGCGTGTTGCCCACAAGGATTCATTATACTATATTGTTTGTTGTCTGCCCCTGGCGCAACCGCTTCGGGCCACGCAACCCGCTGGCCCCCGGGTTTTGCTCAAGTGTCTTCTGCGACGGAAGGATGAGAAGCTGAGTGGGTCGAGCTGAGGGCGCCGAATGAACGCGCCCTTGTCAGACCTCACGCGGTTAGTTCCAGGCGTTTCCCCGCTTAAGCGCCGACCCAAGCTCAGAGTTTAATTTGGATTCTCGGCTTCTCAAGTCCCCCGCACCCCCGCATTACCTGGAGTCTTGGATTTGGCGATGTTCTTTCTGCGCGTTGCGACCCAAACCCGAGTATACATGTTTTTTTGCGGTTCTTTCTCTCGGCCTCGGCTTATCGGTCTTTGGCGGCTCATGTGAAAACCGTTGGGACGCCTTACTTCAACGCCTAACGGGCGCTACGGGCAGAGACCCCAGACCACCGGTCGCAGGCAGGAGTGCCTGGACTCTCGGCGTCTTGGTGTCTTGGCTGCTCGGATATTCGGCTTCTCGGCTTTTCGGGCGGCTTCTTGATTCTCGGGTTCTCGGGTTCTCGGTTTCTCGGCTCGTTTATCTCAGCGCTGCAGCCCCTGCTGAAAAACCGAGGAGCCAAGAAACACAAAATCTGAATCCGAGAAGCCAAGAAACCGTACAGCCGATAAATGGAGAAACTGAGGTTAGCCGAAAAACCGCCCGAGAAACCCGAGAAACTGAGAATATGAACCCTAGAAATCGAGAAGCCCAGAATTCAAGAACACAAGAAACCGAGACACCAAGAAAGCACGATTAAACCAAGAAACCAAGTCAACCTGAGAGCCCGAGGGCCGAGAATCTCAATCCGAGAAACCGAGATTAGCCGAGACAACGAGATTCGCCCGACAATCCGAGAAACCGAGAAGCTGGGACATCGCCAAGAACCGAAAACTCAAATTACGCTGGTAACTGCGAGCCCGAGTTATACCAAGAACCAAAGAATTTGAGTCCGAGAAACCGAGAAACCGAAAATCCGAGATTTCTGCCAAGAAGCCCGAGAACACGAAAGGACCAAGAAACCGAGAGGCCGAGAACCCGAGAGCCCCAAACACTTTGCTATGGATGTATATATACATATATATATATATATACATACGTACAAACACCGAGCTTGGGACAGCACTTCCCGAAAGGAACAGATGGAGCTCAACGCTTTGCGAGCTGACAAGCCGAACATCATCCCGCAACCATTTCCTGCGTGAGCGCTTGTGGAACAAAGGGCCCGGCTCAGTTTAAGAAAACACAAAACTTTATTACCTTTTCCTCGCGGCGCCTTGCTCGTGCCCGGCGCAGACCAAGCGCGCTATAACTCCACAACAGCCGCCCAGTCGCCCAGGTCCCGACATCCAAGGCGTCGGCAATTTTCACAAGAACATCCACGAGCAAGTGGAAGCACACAGGCGTACGCGTGAGTTCTCCAGGCAGTCATAGTTTTCCCTTTCGACAGCCAGGTACCCACGCCGACATTCGCTGACGCTGCGCCAAAAGCGCAAGCAAGAATGCACCTTTCAGCGTGAAGCGTTCAAAGGAGCCTTCGGATCACGTCTTCCTGCGAAGGCGACGGCCAACTTCTTCTCACGATCTTTAGCTTTGGCCTTGCATGCTTGGATGGGTGGCCTACTTGCTACGTACTTGGCGAACTGAGGCGATTTGATAAGCCACTTGCAAAGTTGCCTAACTTGTTAGTATGTCTGCTACGTCTGACTTAGCGGACTCAACCTGGCTAAGTCCACTTGGCGAGTTAGAGGACTTAGCTAAGTAGATGCTGAATAGTTGTAAGTAGCTAGCTAAGTCCTCTAACTCGCCAAGTGCACTTAGCCAGGTTGTAAGTCCGCAAAGTCAGACGTAGCGGACATACTAACATGCAACTTGCCAGTGGCTTAGCAAGTCGCCTAAGCTTGCCAACTGCATAGCAAGTAGAGCGCCCATCGGGGTTTTCGCTGCAGACGTTCGGCTTTTGCATATGCTTGACGGACTTCTCCCTCGACACCACAATGAAACTCTTCTCGGTCTATCTTTCTGTCGATGACTGGATGGTTAAGGACATGCTTTTTCTGCCTTTGGTGCGGGAGAGTATTTCTGCCGGGAAACTTCGTTTTTTTCAAAAACACGTCGCGCGTTTTGAGACGTTGTTCGCGCGCCGTTCCTGCCCTTCTGCCAAGGACATTTACGGGCTTGACTGGCGCACTACCTAGCAGCGCATATCATGGAGAAGATGTGTGATGATATGGTTCTCAGGCAAGGCATCTGCGCCCTGCGGTTTATCATGGATGAATCTGGACGAAGAGTTTCGTCGTTTCCTTTGGCAACCGAAGCTGCTGCTATGGAACGTGTTCTGCTTTCACAACGACGCTTGCCTTTCTCGGACGGTGATGTAAGCAGGGAGCCTCTTGTGCGGGATTTGTGGGCTCCAGGCTCCTCCAGCGCCCACGCGGAAGCGCAAGAGTTTTGCGTTGGGGGGCCGGAAGGACCAGCTTCGCTCGCTTGCCCGTGGCCCTGTGGGTATAACCGAAGCCCGGCAAGGCCGGGAGCACCATGCCACACTCCATGGACGAGCCCTCAACGCATAGAGCTTGGAAATGTGTTTGACCCAAATAGTACAGGGGTAGCCAAGTGAGAGGAGCAGCGAAGACCAATGTAAGAATGCAAGACCGTGCGCGGAAGCACGTCTTGCGCTTTTGACCGGACTAAAACATACGGCCAAACCTGAGCCTCTGTCGAAACAAGCGCACACACACGCAGGGCTGCACACTTCGCGGGCGAATAGACCAGCCATAAAGAAAATTGATGCTGGCAAGACGCTTGTCTGATCCTTCTTGCGGGTCTGCGTGGGAGATGGACTAGCCCTATTTTGTTTGATAAAGCGGGATTCTCTCACCTTCACATGCGCTCGAGCCTCTGGCCATAACTTTTGGCTGGACGCTGCTCATTTCCTGGACTCCAGCATGGTGTGTTTGCGCAATGCGTGTGATTGGTTTGGGCGCAGCAAAGGAGACACAGGTGTCTTGATTGTTGGTGTGTTGGGCTGCTGCTTTGATAAGGAAAGCCGCTCTCTGATGCTGAAGGAATTTGATCAACTATCTGCGAAAACTCATTAGGTTCAGTTAGTGACCCTCCGCTTATGTAATTCAAAGCTGCCCGCCTTCTGCGCTCAGCATGTCCAACATATGCCAGCATGACAGTGAGATCTCTAGAACTTGAAATGATCAACAGATTTCTGGATCTCTCTCCATTTGATATCAAATTCGAGAGATTTCTGGACCTCACCAAACAGAAGTGATGAGATCTCACATGTATGTAAAAAGAGAAATATGTGTGCACTCGCAACAGCTTTAATGAAGTCCGACATTGTTTGTATAATCAACATGGAGACAGAGCTATTGAAATTTGGAGTGTCAGTGGTTTCTCTTGGTATGGGCTCTGCCGACGTTTGTTGGACATGTTTGCATATTTTGTGAAACGCATACAAAAACAGCCCAAGTCTAAGTGCCATGTTGAAAGCTGTTGTTTGTGAGATCATGCCTTGTTGGGTCACACTGTTCATGGTGTTTCAGTTTGCAACCTTTGGGTGTTGATTGACCACACAAGTTGGACATTCTGAGATGCGTGGTTGGGCATGCGCTTGGAGTCGCATGAAGCTTGGTGGCAAAACATGTGGCACAGGCGGGCAATTTCAAAGCACTTTGTTCCGAAGGCTGAGTGGTGCAGGGCCACGGCTGTCAGCACCAACAATTATGGCTCCACAAAACGGCACTTGAGCTGGGCTATTGCTTCGGGTTTTGCCCGCAATCGCACAAGCTGCTTGCAACTGCCTGGCCGATCTTGTGTGGGAGCATTGCAATACAACTGGCTACACGTGCTTTTCAAAAGCTTGGCGAACATGCGACTGAAGAGATTGCCCCAAATGAATGACATGGCGTGGCATGGATGCTGGAGCAGGACAAGCTTAACAAATATGGTGACTTGCTCGACATGTGTCGGACTGTGGGCAACTTAGCAAACCCCTGATCTGCAGGAGGCTGGAAACTTTTGTGGCAAGGCTTAGCCTCAATCTGAGGCACTGGCACTGGAGCCTGACCTGCTGTGTCTTTGCAGGGCTTTCGGCCAATGCTGCACAGGCCAATGCTGCGCAATGCACACATTGCCTGCGCAGGACACGCTGTGTTACTTGCCTGTACTGCTTCATTGAGCGACATTGCGCCAACACAAGTTGATTGCTATCAATGATTGTTTGTGCTCGGCACTTGCAAAACAACATGGGCGAGTCAGTGCGCATGAGCCAATTGACCTTGCGCAGTTAGCCTTGGAAGTGCTTGCTGCTTGATGACTTGTTAAGCTTGCTCTCCTTATAACTTAAGCTTGACCGCCCGTGCTTGCGCGCGCTAACCCTCTTTGAAGCGGTTTCCAGCTGGTTCTGTGTCACTGCCATGGCGTCAGACCCAGTCCAGCTCCTGCTGGATGCTTTCAATTCAGGAATGGTACTGCTGGAGTCCGATTTAGAGGATGATTTCCAGAAAGAGGAACTTCCGACGCAAACGCCTGCAAGTATCTCTGCCACGCGGCGGGTTCAGAAGTCGGTACTGGAAGTCTTCTTGGCGCCTCGCCTTTGCACGGCTGTGTTTGGCCATGGTCTGACACCTGAAGAGCCCTTTGACATTCTTGCTGGGTTTATCTTGCTGCTGAAGAAGGACCAGGACAAAGTACTGGACGCAGTGCCCACACTGAAACCATCGTTGTTGTGGCTGTCGCCCCCGTGCGACAACTGAACAAGAAGAAAATGGACCCGATGGTTTTCAGGGCTCGCCATTCAAATGCTGTTGCGCTGATGCATTTTACGGCTAAGTTGGCCCGTTTGCTTGCCCACAGCCGGCAGGAAGTTTGGCTTGGAGCATCCATCCAGCGTCTGCATGGAAATTGCCACGCATCAAGCGCCTGATAAAGATGACAGGCGTTCACTCTGAAGTCTTTGGCCAGTGCCGCTACGGTCTTAGATGTCGAAGTGGGGCAGCCAATAAAGAAGAGGACAATTTTTGCAACCAAACTGCAAGCACACCGGCCGTGAAATTTAACACCAAGTTCCGTAACTGCAAATGTCAGCATTTGCCAATCCAGGGGTCGCAATCCCGCTGGAACTGGCCAATGCAAGACTCCGCTCCTTTGCCCACAGTGAGGATTGAAGACCTTTCCCTGACTGTGCTTCAAGTGGGGAGGGCCATGGCAGTGCTTGCGCGCTGTGCTACACCGCGCTTGCGCGCCAGAAACCTGGTGGATGAGCAGGAATTGGCTTGCCAACACGTGCAAGCACTGTGCTTGGCTTCAAGCTGACTGGTTTGTGTTCACATGCTTCAGTGTGATCCCACGCAGTAGGTGTTTTGCTGATTAAACTCCCAGCAAACATGCGCGAGATGCCGTCGTGAAATTGGGAAAGAGTCAAGATGAAAACAGGTCAGTGGGAGGATGCCACCCTGGAGAAGGATTCAGCGAGCTGGCTGGAGCTGGGAACGCCTGTGATGGAGAAAACGGCTGACTTTGCGTTGAGAGATGTGCCAGGGTAAGGTGCAGGTCAGCAGACATTTAACCTAGAAACAGTACACCTGGGACAACAGGAGTTTGAGCTGGACCTGCAAAAGATTTCCCAAGCTGTTTCTACAAAAGATGGAAGCTGAACATGCCTGCTGGGCATCCCCACGCAAATGGCCTGATGACCTTCCGATCTGGCTGCTTGGTTTCCGGCAGCAGTGCTGCCACCTGTGCCAGGTCTACTGCACGGCTTGCCCGTCGCGCTGGCCTTGTGACAAGTACTGTTTGGATACAGCAAGCGACAGCATGTATCGGACACAAAGGGGCGCTTAAAGCTTGTGGGAAACTGTAGTTAGGAATGGCGATGGATCTAGGCGCGCAAGCACTGCAAAGATGTTGATGAGGTTTGAAGCTTTGATGGTCAAGTATAGCCTTGGCGAGGAACACCGTGTGTTGCACCAAGCCATGGATTCGCCCGGCTCCTTTCGAAGGAGCAGGGTGTGGTCCGGTATTGACTCTGCTTGTCCATGATGAGGGTGTGTATTTTGTTGGAGAATATCGTACTCGAGTTGTGTGGAGCTCGGCTGAGCATACCACTGGCGACGAGATTCTTTACTCGCGCTGCGACCCTTGGAAACGGTATTCTCTCGGGGGATTGTGTAGATGTGGATGCCCTCCAATGGCAAACTACAAGTTGAAATCCCATGCGCTGGAGGATGCCATTGACATTCCAGACGGCTACTACAACTCCAGAGGGTGGGTCGTTGGGGTTCACGAGACACGGAATAGTTCTTTGCCACACCGAGCCTTGCAAATGTGAAAACAATGTCAAGTGCGCCAACCTTGAAAAACAAGAAACGATGCTTCTAGACACGGTTACGGAGTGCGCTGGTGAAAGCTGTCAATTGGGGTGTGTGGGGGACACGCGCCATGAGGTGGATGCCAACCGCATGCTATCGCAATTGGACTTGGATTTGTCCTGTGCCCGGGAAAAAGTGCAGCAACAGGAAAAACTGGATATCTGGGAACTCATGGAGTTTGGTGCGGTGTTCCTGAGCTGCGCGCGAAACAATTCGTTCCTGGAAACGCATGTGTGTGTGCTTGGACTGTCATGTCTTGGATGTGCGTTTGTCGCTGGTCTTCAGTCAGGGAGAAGGTGAGGCTGCAGACGGAGAAAAATATAGCCCAGAGAGTCTCTGGTGTCTATCCTTCTCCTCCAAGGAATAATAACGCCACTCTCAGACTGCGCGCATTTCAGAATGTCAAACGCAAGTGCCGAAAAGCGCCAATCTTGGGCCATGTCCAGAAACGCCCAGAGTAACGGGGTAAACGACGGTTTGAACGCCGGATGTATGATTTCAAGGCTGCTCTTGAGAGATTGAAATTGGCTTGCAAGAACTGAGTCAATAAACCAAAAGTGCACTGAGTGTTCTGGGTTACCGGCTTGCAAGGGCTGAGTGAATAGAAAAGGGGGAGTGTTTGTGTTTTGGAGTCAAACAATGACGAAACTAATTGTACAAAGATAAAATGGCCAAGTGGTGGAATCGGATGGCAGCCCCTAGGTGGTCCTGGCCACCCCGCCCTCGGCTGGGGGGTTTGGTTGTCGCCTTTCCAAGACTGGCTAAACATAGGGAAGGCCGTGCGCTAGGCCCGGCTTCTGCCTTGCTAGTTTGGCTTTGCCTTGGTGTGCCAGTTTCAAGATCCTATTGGCTTCTATCAAAACAACATGTGAAACGTATTTGTTCCATTATTTTGCCCGACAAATCAGATATGTCCACAACATGCATATTTGTGCTGCTGACTGCTAAGAGTAAAACCTAAACAAAAATAAAAGCAACAGTTCCCCCTCCGACAAGTCTCCCTGAATGGAAATCAGTGACCCCAAGTATGGTGTGTTTGTCTACACAATCAAAACCCGAAATATTTGCTCAAGAAGAAAAATTGGCGCCTCTTCGCGTTCTGGTCCCGAGCCTTGCTGTGGAAAACAAGCTCCAGGTACGCAGGACCAACGTCTTAAAACACGCGATGTTTTGCGGGGAACAGAGACTTTCCCGCCCCCGCCCTAAAAAACATTAAAAGCGTGTCCTTAATGGACAGCCAGATGAGGCTCACCAACAATCGATACCTCCTTTCGGGACGCGCATCTGGAAGCCTACTCGGCGTGCACGGGTGTACCCCTCTTTGAGCCAAGGTCACGCCCTACCTCCAGATCACCGCGCGACGCACGTGTGGTTGTGAGCTCCCTCGCGATGAAACACTGGCAAGGTTTGGGGGCCGTAAAGGCAAGCGCAACATCCGAACTCCTGCCACGACGTGCCATTGAAGTGGCGGAGCCCCGCTCATGTGAGCGACACCTGTGCTGTGAACAGAAGGCATTGCACATAGCTGCGCCCCAACGTTTGGAACCCTGCCTGTTGCTTGATGTCAGTAACTCAACAGACATGCGATGCACTTACACTGCGCTAAAAGGAGACACAAGCCCTCTTTCTTTTTAATCCGGGATGCCTCTGCCCAGAATTCCGCGGGCCAGTCCAGCTGGTGCACCTGCAAACACAAGCAACCGAATTCCATTAAGTGTTCGGGCATGCAGAAGGTTGCTGGGGAGACGCCGTGCGCGCAAGATTCGAGCGCGCGAGCGGGGGCAGCGCGTGGAGGCAGATTGAACTGATTAAAAAAAGAGAAGCGCGCTTCAGTTGGGGTTTGTCTGGATCCCCGTGCTGAGCAAAATGCCGCCATCTCCCTAAACGTGCGCTTGATGGCATTTCAGGCGGTCTAGGAGCACCTAACAAACAGCTGGCCAGGAAAGTTTGGCGAGCGGGGGGTTGGACGCAAAACTCTACTCCACTACGCTCTGCGCCGCGCCGCGCCACCCCACGCCACCACACTCCACTCCACACTCCGCACTTTTGTAGATCCACACACGCGCACACACACACACACGCACACCTACACACACCCACTCCGCCCCCCACCCACCCACAACCATCCGAAGATACAGGGAACCGAGGGACATGCCCCGAGCGAGTGAGCGTGGCTTCTTTCTAGCATAGGACAAAGCAAACAACAGCGGCGCAACGGGCGGCCAAATTTAAGGACACTTTCTTGCAGACTTGTGAGCCCAGCCTCCGAGATCATATCACCGCCGCTTTTTGGGCAGGTCGTCCCTGTGTAACTCAGGCACCCTCCCTTGGCCGTCTAAAGTGTGCGGAAGTGTGTTTGTGCGACGGGAGCACGGGCGCATGTGTGTGTGTGTGTGCGTTTCTGTGCTCCTGCCTGCTTGTGTTCGCGCACGTATTTCCATGTGCGAGTTTATGTGTCTCTTTTGCTTTTGTTCTGGTTTGCGTGTGTTTGTTGCAACACACACACTCACAGGAGCAAGGCGCTGGCAGGAAAGAAGCAACAAAACGGAAACAAGTCGCGCGTCCGTGGGCAAGAGCCTCAACCAAGCAACAAGAAACACAAGGGGGCCAAACTCCGGGGCAACAAGCCAGAACAGCAGCGCAAACGACCTACACCTTGTAGACACAGAACACCGCAAAGATGGAGTAGAGACGCGCGCCGGAAGAACACGGTCAAGCCGAAGGCGCAACAATCAGGAGGTAAATGCAAAAAAGCCAAGGAAGCAAAGTGCAAAAAAATCAGAACAGCAAGAAGCCGGGGGCAAGAGCGACGACGCTAAGAGGGCCCCAACGCCAAGAACCAGGGCGCCGCTTGGGCGCTGTTGCGGGCGCTGGTCAGGGGTGTGCGCCCAAAGTGGTGTGGAGGTTGCTGCCGCCTCTTGTTTGCCAAAACAAAAAACCAGAGGAAGACAAAAAAAAACACAAGTTAGATACGATGGAAAAGGTAGCTAGATAGGTGGATACGGGTAGGTAAACAGATTGCTGGGTGGGCAGATAGGGGTAGCTAGAAGTTTGACACATTGGTTAGATTAATGGATGGATGGATAAAAGGAAAAATCGGCAGAAAACAAAATGAGGTAAGAGGAAGAACAAGGGGAAGAAAGAAACGTAGAAAACGGGAAAGAGAGAAGCACGAACGAGAGAAAAGAATAAATACCATTCTATCTACCCCTCTATCTTTATCTAACCTACCGAATCGTCCTAAGCTCTGTCTTGTCTATCCAAGCTGTCAAACCGACCTCCCTACCAACCTATTCATTTTCGTATTTATTGCCGGTCTATCTCTCTCTATCCACCCACCTATCTACCCCTTTTATCTGTCTAGCTTTCTTTCTATCTTCCCATCTTTTCCATCCTCCCTATGTGTCTGCCTGTCCATCTACCCATCTACCTATATCCATCTGTCTATCTACATCTACCTACAGTCTTGCGAAAGTGCTGCGCCTGCCGCGAAGCACAGGCGACCGCCGCTGCCAGCGCCACCGCCACCGGCAGCAGCAGCAGCAAAATAGAAACAGCCAAAACAACAACCACAACCGCAGCTGTCGCAGCGCCTCCGCTGTCAAAAAGAAAACCAACACAAATACCAACACCGACACCAAAAACACCAACATCACCCCCAGCAAAACCAACAACACCAACACTACCAACAACAGCAACAGCATCAACACAAACAACGCTGCCGCCGCAACCACCACCTCCCCCACCGCCGCCGCCGCCACAAGCACCACCACCGACAACAACAGCAACAACATCAACACAAACAGCGCTGCCGCCCGCAACCACCACCTCCCCCACCGCCGCCGCCGCCACAAGCACCACCAGCAACAACAACAGAAAACAACATCAACAACAACAAGAACAAGAACAATGACAAGAGCAACAAGAACGACAAGAACAACAACAACAACAACAACAACAACAACAACAACAACAACAACAACAACAACAACAACGACAACGACAACGACAACGACAACAACAACAACAACAACAACAACAACAACAACAACAGCGCGACGTTAACATCAACAACAGCAACAACGACGACAACAGCAACAAACACAACAACACCAACAACAACAACAAAGAACAACACAACAAACAACAAACAGCAAACAACATACATCAAACACCAACAGGAAAACCACCAGCAACATCAACAGCAACAACCAAAACAAACAACAACAATCAACAAGAATCAACAAAATACACCAACACTTAAAAGCCAACAATCAACAACGATCAACGAAAACAACAGCAACAGCCACACCAACAGCAACAACAAAAACCTCAACATCAACAACAACGACAACAACAGAAGAACAACAAAAGGGACAACAGGAAAAACAACAGAAATAACAACAAGAAGAACAGCAATGGCAACGACGACACCACCAACAACAACACCAACAACAACAACAGCAACAACAACAACAACAACAGCAGCAGCAGCAGCAACAACAACAACAACAACAGCAGCAGCAACAACAACAACAAACACAACCACAACAACAACACCAACAACAACAACACCAACAACACCAACACCAACACCAACACCAACACCAACACCGACACCGACACCAACACCAACACCAACACCAACACCAACACCAACACCAACACCAACACCAACACCAACACCAACACCAACACCAACACCAACACCGACACCGACACCGACACCGACAACAACAACAACAACAACAACAACAACAACAACCACAACAACAACAACAACAACAACAGGAACAACAACGACAACGGCAACGACAATAACAACAATCACAACAACAACGACGACGACGGCACCGACAACAACAACAGCAGCAGCAACAGCAACAACAAAAACAAACACATCAATTTCCAAACAACAACAACAACACCAACCACAACAACAACAACAACGACAATAACGACAATAACGACAATAACGACAATAACAACAATAACAACAAACAAACAAGCAAACAAACAACCAACCAACCAACCAAGCAAGCAAGCAAGCAAGCAAGCAAGCAAACAAACAACAACAAACAACAACACAACAACAACAACAACAAACAAACAGACAAACAATCAAACAATCAAGCAATCAAACAATCAAACAATCAAACCATCAAAGAAACAAACAAACAACAAAAACAGCGACGACAACAACAACGACGACAACGACAACGGCAACCGCACCACCACCACCAACACCAGCAGCAAAAGCTGCAGCAGCAGCAGCAGCAGCAGCAGCACCAGCACCAGCGCCAGCAGCAGCACCAGCGCCAGCGCCAGCAACAGGGGCAACAACATCAGCAGCAGCCAGAACAACAACAATAGCCACGACAACGACAACAACAACAGCAACAGCAACGCCAACCACCACCACCACCACGATCACCAGCACCAGCACCAGCGCCAGCGCCAGCGCGAGCGCCACCCCCCAGCCCCGACCGACCAACCAACAAAAAACCAAAAAACAGTCAAAACAGCACAAGCCCAACAAACAAACAAACCAGCAAACAAACAAACTGTGTTATAAGCCTAGGCCACCTATGGGGGAAACCTAGGCAAGCAGCAAACTGTTGACTACCTTTTCACACTGCTGTCGGTGATCTTGAAGTCTGTGGTAGGCGGAGCATACACATGCATGTGGTTGGAACCTGAATCCACCCCCCCCTCATTTGAGATGGTACAGCAACGAAAATGTTCGGCAGGTTTTGCAACCCGCTATGATTCGACACTCATCCACGGCACATTGACAATGGACGACACTCATCCGTTGCGCCTGCAAATGGTTACCGTCTCTCAAGAGTGCTCCTTTGTGGGGTACTTTGCCTTCACCACCTCCCGCCAGATGACCAGCCCCGCGAACTTCATGAGGTCCACTCCCAATTGCTCCAGCTACGATCGCTCCAGTTGCGACCGCTCCAGTCCCTCCAGCTTCGGCTTTTGCATTCGCACAGATCTCGCGGATCTCGGCTTCGAGGTTCTCGGCTCCGGTTGCCCGGAGCGTCGGAAACTGCCCACCGAAGGTGACGAGGTTTCGCATTCCTGGGAGAATGTTAACCTGAGCAACGAACTGCGCCAGGCTCAGCATCTTGCCGTTGTAGGAAAAGAGCCAAGGAAAGGCATGAAGATCAGCGTCGTAGTCGCCGCTTTCGCCGCCACTCACATAGACCGTACGGACGTAGTGATGGCCCTTCTTGCCGTACCCGGGCCCGACTCGAACAACCGTTGGCCATAGGTGCGAGGGAACTCGGGGAGCACGCAGAAGCGAAAGAGCGACACTTGAAATAGGCTCTCTCGGTTGTGGCCCTGCTCCACCATCCTGAGGGCGAACGTCGCGTCCTTGTCGAAGCGGTCGACGACGTTCTCGTACCCCAGCTTCCTCGCCCGCTGGTCGTAATTCTTCGAGGCCTCGATCTGCTTCGCCTCACCACGCTTGGCGACGTCAGTATACCCTGTCAAGTCGCCAACCATGAGCTGGTTGACGGACTTCCCCACTCGATGGCATACTTCTTCCAGCATCTGAGCCCTCCTCTTCGCCGCCCGGAACAGCTGGATGTCGCTCGTCTCCTTTGTGCCATGCCCGCAAACGCTGGCATTTCAATGCATCATATCTTCTCCACAGGCTACACAGTCGGTATA